GTGATATTATCTGGCTCTACAACCTCCAAGCTTTCTCACCTGGCCTTCCATCAACCTGTGTTGTGAATGAAAAATACACCTTATTGAGTTTAGGCCACTGAGGCTGTGGGGTTGTTTGTTAGAGCCATTAGCCAAGCCTAGATAATGCACTGGTACATAATAAGCTCTAAATTAATGTTAGCTGCTGTTCTGGTCTATTAAATGGTGATAATAGGACCTACCCCATGGGGTGGGAGGAGTCAAGGAAATGGTGGAGAGTTCGACTTACTGGCTCAGCTTCTCTTCGACCACAGTTATTTCATCTAAATACTATGAATGGGGTCATCATTACCTTTTTTGCCTGAAGTAGGATTACCCATAATAAAGCCTCTTGCAGGTTTTAAAAGGATAATATGTGAATTCCCAGTATTATAGTCCTGAAGCCAGTAATAATAGTATAGCTTTAATTCAGAATACTTCCTAAAATCCATTTGATTTGATGGGTTTCGAAACCTAAATATATATAGTAGGATGCTTCTAATGTAGAAGTTAGTCCATTTTATTTATTTTCAATTTTTTAAAAATTATGAAATATTTTAAGAATACAAAAAAAGATATAACAAACATCTTATTCCCACAACTCAGTATGGTCAAATCTTAACATTTTGCTATATTTGATTTGTGTTTTTTTTAAAGAAATAAAACTTTATGGATGAAACTGGAAAAATAAAAATGATGTTCCTAAAGCACTTAGCATAGTACCTGACATATGCAATGTGGTCAGTAATTGTCAGCTGATTTTTTTTATTTTGAAATAATTTTAGATTTACATGAGACATAAAAACAGCAGAGACGTTTCTTATATACCCTTCACCCAGCTTTCTCTGATATTGGCTTCTTTCATAGCCGTGTTACATTTCTTAGGCAAAGAAATTACCATTCACTAAACCACAAACTTTATTCTGATTTCACCAGTTTTTCCACTTATGTCCTTTTTCTGTTCCAGGGTCCAGTCTGGGATACCATGTTGCATTTAGGCTAGCTAATTTTCAGTCATTCATCCATTCACTCAACACACTGAGAACACCGACAACTTTTAGTCCAAGACTGAGGTTCTGAGTATCAGATGATACCAGGAGCCCCTGTACCACATTCTACGATGATAATCACACTATCACTTTTGAGAACTTAGCGTGTATTGCGCAAAGCACTTTTATATGCCCCACTCAATCCTCACAACAATCCTATATGGTGGCTATTATTAATATCATGTTATAGACAGGGAAACAAGTATAGAGAGGTTAACTGAGGTCACACATCTGGTAAGAGGCAGAGGCAGGATTTGGACCCAGGGAGTCTGGCTCTGAAGTCATGCTCTTAATAATACTCCTTCTTTCATAAGGCTGCTCTACAGAAGAGGGAGAGTGGACATGTCACAGATTTCCCTGGGGGATGTGGCAGTCAGGGAGGCATCCTGGAGGAGGTGTCAGCCTGGAGCTCAGTCTGTTTCTTTGGAAGCTTGGGGAATGTTTCACTTTCCTGCCATCTGCATCCTCCTGGGTTCCCTCCCTTCTCTCTCTGAAGCGCCAGATTCTGAACCCAATTCACAGAGCCCCAAAAAGGTGACCTGCTGAAACCCAAGCCCCAGGCCCAGCGCTGGTTCTGTCCCAGCCTCTGGGCACCCACCCCAGCTGGCAGGAGCAGGCTGCCCACACTCAGAGACCAGGATGATGATTTAAAGACTGACTTCTGGAGCCACTATTTTGGGTCCCGCTGACAGTGCATGAGCAAGAAATAGCAACCAGGATGGAGTTGTCAGGTGGAGGGGGGATCCAAAAGAACTCGGGGTGGGCAGTTGGGGCTACCAAGCTGGAACTAACTAGCTTTGTCTGCTCTGGAGAACAATAGGCCCCACCAACCAGAGGATGAACTGAGAACTGCTTTCTATCCCTAGGGTGGAGAGGAGCCCTGCCTGGTTGGGGCTGGGTCCTGGGACTAAGTTGGGCACAACAGCACCAGTCTTTCTGCCATCCTCCAGCTAGGACATATGTATACTCTCTGGAAAGAGCTCAGAGAGCACTAGGGGCAGTGCACAGCCAGCTGGGAGAGGGGACGAGGGCTGCAGGGAGGTGAGCAGAGGAGCTGGCTGGGCAGTACCTGCCCTCGAGCCAGAGACCAGAGATCCTGGATCCAGGAGGTAGCATTCCAGCCCCGTCTCTTCTTGTCTGAGCCTCAGTTTGTTCATCTGTAAAATGGGGATATTAATGCCTCCTAGGCAAGGTGGCATACATTTGTGCAGTTTATAAATTGCAGAAGGGATTACTGGGGGCTAAAACCCAGCCCGTGCTCAGCTGGCCCAGCCGGGCACCCTGACCTGGGGCTATGTCCACTTGGGAGGAAGGGACATCTTTTCTTTAACTAAGCTGTTTGTCTAGGGGTGCTTCTGCCTGAAAAGTTGGTTTGCTCAGAGCAGGCACCTTTTTCAAATTTGCACAAAGGAAAAGCAACTGCCCTCTGGAAATAGGGCAGATGGCACAGGTAGGCAAGCCCCAGGAGAGGCAGAGCTGGCCCCAGGGAGCCTTGGTGGGAAATAGGAATGAGAGACAAAGGTAGCCCAAGAAGGATGAGATCTGCTGCAAAGAGGGTGCCAGGTGAGCCAGATGGTGAGGCGCTTCATCAGCAGGTGGACGTGGGAGGAGAGGAGGTGCCCTCTGGAGGCAGGCCTAGTCCTGGGCCAGCCAGGATCCACTCCCCTCATGGCCTCTGTAGTGGTGGCAACCTGTGGCTGCTGGTCCCCAGACCCACAGAGCTGTACCTGAGGGCAGGGTCATAGATAGAGGGTGTGGGAGCCATGGGGACCCTGAGCCTAGGGAAGGCCTGGCCAGAGACAGCCAACTGGGAAAGAATGGCAAAGCACCAAGCAATCATAATTCAGAGTGGTAGGTGATAACACAAGGGGTGGATGGGCATTTTGGTGCCCTTCTCTCTGGAGGAGCACTTCTCTCAGGCTTGGGGGGTCCAGGAGGGCTTCCCAGAATTGACATCCAAACTGGGACCTCAAGGAGAGGCTGGAGTTAGTTCAGTAAAAAGCAGGGAGAGTGGTGCATTCAGGTGACCCAACCTGAAGCAGGTGCAGTACCAGAGGTAAGAGAGAGCAGTGTGCTCCAGGAACTGCATGTGGATTTACCATTTCTTAATTGAGCATTACGTATGGGAACAGAATTACAGTATGGCTAGAGATGGAGACAGTCTCAGGGAATGAAGCACCTTTATGCTTTGTCAAGGTGTTTGTACTTTGGAGGTTTTAGGCAGAAGGATGACGTGATCAGATTTTCAGTTTAGTAACATGTCTCCTTGGAGGAGCAAAGCTGTTGCGAGGATCCAGGAGAGAGGTGAGGGTGGGTTGAACTTGGGTAGTCACAAGGAGGGTGAAGCTAGGCTGGCCAGTTAGCTCAGCTGGTCAGAGTGCAGCCTTATAACACGGAGGTCGTGGGCTCGGATCCCCATGCCAGCCATCCGTTAAAAAAAAAAGGAAGGTGGGCCGGCCCGGTGGCGCACTGCTACAGTGCGCCGTTTGGGAGCGCAGTGGCGCTCCCGCCGAGGGTTCGGATCCCACATACAGACCGGTTCCCGCTCACTGGCTGAGCGAGGTGTGGGGGCGACACCGAGGGTTGCGATCCCGTTGCCGGTCCCGGTCCGGTACAGGTGCGACACTGAGGGTTGTGATCCGTTGCCGGTCACGAAAAAAGACAAAAAAAAAAAGATAAGTGAGCAAGATCAGGGGGTATTTAGGAGGAGTCCGGGATGACACCTGTCACTGTCTTAGGAATGGTGCCTGTTGGAACCCATCACTGAAACATGGACCTAGGAAGAGGAGGGATCTGGATGAGGGTGATGAAAAGTTCAGCTGAGTTTGAAGTTCAAGTGCAATATTCAAATGGAGGTGGCCAGTGGGATGCAGAGGGTTTGGGCTCAGGAAGAATTGGGCAGCCATATCTGCCTGGGAGTTATCAGCCTAGAGATGCTAACTGAGGCTGTGGGAGCAGGAGGCCCCCCACTGCAGGAGAGTGGCAATACTGAGAGAGAGAAGAGGCCGCGCAGAGAACCCTGAGCAACCTTGACATTTAAGGGTCTGCCAGAGGAGACAAGGGCTAAACAGGAGTGGCCAGAGAGGCAAGAGGAAAGCCAGCCCGTTGACCCGCATGAGTACCTTGGGTACCTTGGGTGTGCACCATTTACAGGTGAGGACCTGGTGGGGGCGGGGGGTGGTCCTACGTTGTTTTATTAGAGCCTGAGAACTAAGACGCTCAGAGCTAAGTGTTTTGTTTCATCACATAACCGTCCTTCACCTAGGATTTCTGCTGTGTCTCTTCCCCAGCCCCCATCCTACTCCTGTATCATGCCACATTTTTAGGTGCCTGTCATTTTAAACAGTCCTTGTGGAGTAGAGTGTAGGTGAAAAGATGGACTGGTTTCAAGAGATGCTATCTCTGCACAGCGAGTTTTGGTGGCTTTGGGTAGGGTGGGCACGGGAGGATGGTGACACATCCAACTTTGGTCTTTACCAGACAACCTGACGCTTATGTGAGGAGCTGAGAGGACAGGAGGAGGGAGAGGTCACCTAGTCCTCAGCACATGCAGCCCAGCTCCTCTTGCACGCAAGGCAGGTAGCACTAATCGACCCCGCTGTGCTGCTTCCTCCTCAAGCCTTGGGTGGACTCAAACCTCTGCTGAGCTACCCTGATGCAGAAGCAGAGCTGGCAAGCCACTGGGACCCAGGGGCCACCCTGAGAGTAAGCCATTGCCTCACAAACCATCAGAAGAGCTCCTGTCTTTATTACAATGAACCTTTTATTACAGAGACAGACTGAACTCTCTTTTGCATAAAGAATCTCTGGGTTGGGTCAGGGAAATCCCCCTGCTGAAGGGCACACCCAGGCTCCCCCTGCCTCTGCCTCAGCTGAGCCTTGCTGTTTACATCTCAGGGTCACTGGAAACAGCAGAGGCTGCCATCCCCAGGGCCAGGCTGGTCAGGTCAGGCCGTGCTGGATGGAGGGTCAGGGCTCTTGGCTGCCTGCAGGTCAGAGCCGTCCCGTCTCCCGCCCCAGCCGGTTGTCCAGAACCTGGAGCTGCCGGAGGAAGCCCGAGTTGGGGCAGATGTCACGGTGGGCCTGCACCATCTGGATGGCCTCTACCAGCGTCATGTTCTCGCAGATCATGAGAAAGGCCAGGACAAGTGTGGCAGAGCGGCTTACCCCCATGGCACAGTGTACCAGAACGCGGCCTGCGGGGAGACCCAGCCTAGCATCAGCTACCTGCCCTCCAACGGCCCACCCTTTTGGGAAGAAGAGACACACCTCTGGCCATCCTTCAGCCCACCTGCCACAGCATCCTGGAATACTGACACTGTCCTCACTGTCGAGTGGGGCAACTGAGGCCCAGAGAAAGAGACTGGCTCAAGGTCACAGAGCAAGTTAGTGATCGGGCTCAGGTTAGCAGCTGGGAAGCCCTTCTCCTTGTCCAGGGCTTCCTCTGGTGTCCTTGGCAACTCTGGGCAGGTTGGGCAGGAGTTTCTAAACTCCTGGGGTCCCCTGGATCTGCGTCAGATTCCAGGGCTTTCCACCTGCCTCCCTGCCCCCCCAGTTCTGCCCTCTCCCCTGCCCTTGCAGCCCTGTGCTGAGGCCTCATCTTAGAGAGACCTGCTCAAGAGCCTTTGCTAGGTCCTGTACCTTCTACCCAACCAATGCCCAGCCTGTCACTGAGGAATGTGGTTATGCTGAGGACCACACTGGATGGTAGTTATGTCTGTGATTGTTGGTTTCCAGGGTTTCCCTGAAGGGGATGCTCACTAAATGGTAGTAACCATTTGCTCAATGGGGTGGGAGGGTTGCTGAAGGGGTTTGTGGCTCTGGACTCCCCATCAATGCTGCTGGAAAAATGGAAGCCCCAGAGCACACCCTGCGCCCCACCCCAGCCTGTGGCTTCTCCAGCTGCTTACCTTGTGGAACACTGAGGGCAGCTCGGATGTATTGAGCAACAGGCAGAAAGTAGACACTGAGGTCAAAGAAGGGGTTGTCATCGGCCTCGATGCCATAGTACTCCAAGGGCATTCCGCGGTAGAACTTGGCACCTGTGTCCACTTGAAACTTGCCTGCAGCAACGTTCACAACGTGGGTGATGCCCAGCTGTGTCAGCTTGCTCTTGTCCCGGGCTGCATACCTGGAGGGAGGGCACAAGGAGAGTTAGGAGAGTGGGGCAGACCTCCCTGGGTCAGCGCTGGCTGAGTTGGAACTTGGCCCCCTCCTCTGCCCTCCCCCTGCAAGGGTAGAGACTAGAACCAGTGAGCTGGCCAGGGGTGAAAGGGCTCCTCTAGTTGGAGTTGAAGACTTCTTTTTACTCAGGACAACTTCTCTGAAGCGCAATTTGGCCACATGCATCAAAAGCCTTAAAAATGTACATATGCTTTGCCCCAGCAATTCCCCTTCTAGGAACTTAATTAAAGGAAGAATCCAAAATGTGCCCACGGGTAAACTGAATCTAGTGATATTCAAGATTGTGAAAAATTAGAAAAAATCCCACTAAATATCTTATAATAGGAGATTAAGTATGGTATATCTAAATGATGAAATAATATGCAATCACTAAAATGTGGTAGTTGTGGGTAAACAAGGAAAGATATTCATCTATATTGAGAGCCTGTGAAAAATGCAGGATACAAAAAAAGGTTTTAAAAATATGTAGCGTGATTCCATTTCAAAAGCTTTTTTTGTTTGTTTGGTGGCTGGCTGGTATGGGGATCCAAACCCATGACCTCAGGGTTATAAGGGTGCATTCTAACCAGCTGATAAAAAGCTTTTTATACAAAGCAGATTATAATGGCATCATAAAGTGACACCATTTATGTAAAAGAAAGGATTATGGAAAAAGCATGTATGTGTGTGTATGCATTTTTAAAAAGTCTACAAAGATTTTATTGCTTGTTGTCTGTCTGTGTGGGAGAACAACATGTATGTCATATTGTTAAGAAGATATTGACCCACTTTTTTTAGTATTAAGAAAATTTTCTAAAATTTGTATATATTGGTCCATATTTCCTAAAATTTTATGAAAACTTTTAGGTAATATGATTTACAATTCTTCTCTCTCTCTCTCTCTATATATATATAGATATATGAGGGTACTTCAAAAAGTTCATGGAAAGATTCATATGATCTTTTATTTTTCCATGAACTTTTTGAAGTACCCTCATATATACAACCTAGAGAAACCTGTGTGTTTTCCCAAGATACATGTACTTAAATATTCCTAACATCTCTGTTCATAATAGCCAAAAAGTGGAAACAATTCAAATGCCCAGATACAATAGAACGGATAAACTGCGGTGTAATCACACCATGGAATATTACACAGCAGTGAAACATCAATGCACATAATGGCATGGGTGACTCTCCAATTCTGAGCAAATAATGCCAGGCACAAAATATTCACAACGTGATTCCATTCATATAATTCTAAAAGACAGACAAAACTACACTGCTTAGGCATGTAGGTGGTAAAACTTAAAAGAAAATCAAAAAAATAGTTATTTCAACACTTAGTGATTTTCCACAGAGAAAAGGGAAAGGTTATAATGAGAAGGATTCAGTAGGGGCTTCTGTGGCACAAAGTAATGTTCTATTTCTTTACCTGGGTGATGAAACCGTTCATACAAGCTCTGTGTACTTTTTTTATGTGTGTCCTACCACACAGTTAAAACTAATAATAATAGAAAAGGAAAGAAAAGTACGGAAAGAATAGCGGTAGGCGAGAGGGTGCTACCTCTGCCCCTGGAGGGCTCCGGGAGAGGCTCATGCCCCCACTCCCCCACTCCCGTGTGAACCTCATGCTTTTCTGCCACCCCCACCATCACGTGGGTCTTACTCACGCATCCCCCAGGAAGAGGCCGGGCCAGACCTCATCGATGTGGCTCAGCACGGCAGTTCTATGGACCCACAGCAAGCGCTGGAGCATGGCCAGTGTGGGTGGTTGGTAGGGGGATGCCCGAACTGCCCCGTGGATCTTGGGCCTCCGGAGATCCTGCTTCTGCAGCGAGTCCATCCTGGAACAAAGTGGACACTGCAGTGGCTGGAGGCAGGCTCCCCGAGGGTGGGTCCAGCTGATGGGGAGCACATGGTGCAATGCCCAGGTGCCACTGGGGTAATGCGGGAAGGGCCTCAGCTATTTTGGATGAGGTTATTAACCAACTCAGCTGGGGCTGAGGCCTAGAATCTTTTCCCAGGAAACAAGGGGATCGACACCTTGTCACTGCTGTGGAGCTGAGCAAACTTCTCCCTCGCCCTCTCCTGAAGCCTCAGATGCTGGAAGCTTTGGCCAAGGGGCCCTATTTGTGGCACTAGTCAGTGCAGATCTTACCCCTTAAGTCACTGGTCAGTTGGGACTTTGTAGGGATGGAAACCCCAGATGGCTGTGGCCTTCAGAGAGCACCCAGGGAGACCACCCCCAACCTGGGCAGCTCGTCATGAGCCCTCTCCCCTGCTACTTCCAGGGCTGGTCCTCAGGGCCCCATCCTCTCCCACTTTCAGGTACTGGGATATCAGAGCCCATCTCCAGGTTGAGAGGTGCAGGCTGTGAACTGGTATTTGTCAGCTTTTCCACGCTGAATGAGCTAACGCCTCTTACGTTCCTGATGTAGGCCCCCATTTTACGTAGGAGGAAGCTGAAGCTCAGAAGTTTTTTTTTTAAGTTCTGCCCAAAGCCATAAGTCTGATGAGAAGCAAGGCTGGGATTTTAATCCAGCTGTGGACTCCTTCAGTTCCATCCCTAAGCTTTTCAGGTAGCACCTTTGGGGACTCTGGAGAGGAGTCACTAACTCGTCCTTTTCCTCAGGGGAGCCTGGCGTTGCTGAGCTACTCCTCGGCTACATGCCCCGGGCTTGGCCTCCTTACCCCCACGGCTTGGGCCAGCGCGGCTCGGCAGGCTTCTCCCACGTGGGGAGGGTTGTGTCAGGAGTCAGCTGGCTGTGGGAGTCCTGGATCCTGTAGAGTGTCAGTGGCACCAGAACCTGCGCCTGGTGCCGTGATGGGAAGGAGCACCTCTCTTGGCTAACTATCCCTGATCCTCTCAACCAGTAACGAGGGCAGGTGTATACTGGGAAGAACATCTTTTCCCTTTGGGAGGCGGTGCCAGGACCAGAAAGAGAAACAGGCACCCAGGAGGCCACTGGCCTGGCCAAGCTCAGCCAGCGGGTGGCTGGTGGGCAGGGTGGAAGCAATGACCCAGCTTTCCCCTTCATCCCCCACTGTGACCTCTCAGGGCGGGCTGAGTGGCCTGCCACCTACCTAAGGCATGGTGTGGGGCCGGGAGTGGTGGAGTGGGTACTGGGGCAGGACTCTGCAAGTGAACAGAACGAGGTTGGGCCAGGTTCCACCCAGAACTCAGACGCTGTGAAGCGGCTAGAATTCCAGGTCCTGGCCTCGGAGCCTGTGGGGGTGGGGACTGAGAGCAGACCTAGGCTGCTGTGGACTGAAGTGGGGTCCTCCCAACCCCCTCTCTGCTTGGCCTCTCTTTGGGATTGAGGGCTTTTGACCCCATAACCCCCCATGAAGATGGGAGGCTCCCTGAGGGGTGGGAAGAGAATTTAGAGGGAGGGAGGAAGCCCCGCTCCCCCTGGGACTCTAGCACCACTCACTCTGTGGCCTCAGGGAGTCTCCCCTCCGGTCTGGGCCACAGTTTCTCTTTCCTGTGCTAAAAATCCTGGAGTTGCCTGACTCAGGATTCTCAGAGGTCTGACCTGAGAATGAGACAGAGGTGTCTGTATGCAGTAACCACAGGGCAGAGGGACTTGTCGTGTGGTGGGGTCAAGGAAGCCCCTAGGCCCCAGGGGAGTCCAACAGCCACCCTGGTCTGGAGCGAGTGCAGCCCCAGGCGCGACCAGATGGGGCTTTGGGAAGCCGGCAGGCGTGGGGCTCAGGCGTGCAGGGCTTGGCGTGAGGTAAGGCCGCCCCCCGGTGGCCCGTGCGTGCCTCGCAGCCCCGCTGTGACGGGAGCGGGCAGCCAGGCTTCGACTGTGAAGAACTGGACCCCGCCCCTCCTGGAGGCTCCAGAGGGGTCAGGAATTGGGAGCTGCTAGGCCACAGCCCAGGCTGCAGCCTCCTAGGGGACCCCAGGCTCAGGTCTGGAGAGTGGGGCTTTTCCTTGGACTTAGGCTACTCCTGGTCAGGTCCCACCTTGGGCCTCACTCCTGATGCTCATTGGGTGTACCCCCACCTGTGTGTTCTGTCCCACTGGAGGCCCAGCCCACCTTGTCAGCCAGCGTCAGACCCAGCCGCCCACCCAGTGACTTGGCCTTCAAGCTCCAGGCATACCCAAGACAGGGGAGTTGGTGGCTACAGTGGCTCCCCTGGTTTCTGCCACCCCCAGACCAGGACTGCAGAGGGCCCTGCCTGACACTCCCTCCCACAGCTCCCCAGCCACAGCAGGGTGAAGCATGGGCCCAACATCCAGCAGGAACAGGGCCCGCCAGCCCCTCTCTACGCTCTCTAGCCCTCGCCCTGCTCCGGGCTCTACCGCGCCTCCTGCCTGCTCCCCTCATGCCAGCCGAGCAGCTGCCTCCGTGTGCAGTGGCTTTCCTGCTCCCGCGCTGCTGCTGTCCCACACACTTGTTTCCCGTCTTTGTCTGGATCTCTCCTTTCTATGTTGCTCTCCCCTTTTGCCTCTGTGTCCCGCCCTCTCCCAAGAAGCCCCCCTGAGACCACCCTGTGGGCACTAGGCCTCAGGCAAGGCACAGATTCCTGGGACACGGGTGGCTTTTGCCATTCACCTTCCAGCTGCAGCTCCAGGAGATACTCCCCTGGTCCCCCTTCCTGCCCACCCTCTCTGCTGCCTCCTCCTCCTCCCCAGGGCACCAAGTGGGGCTGGAGATATCAGGGCAGGACAAGTGAAGAGTCTGGGGAAGGGAGTCTCTGGGAGGAGGACAGGCAGCTGCCTGTGGAGAGCTGCTGGGGTCCTACAGGCCTCGGTGGAGACAGAGCTGGGCAGACTTCTCAGGTGTGCTACATGTATGCATGTGTGTATGCATGTGGTCTCCTCTGAGACAGTGTCTTGTGAGAATCCCGTGAAATAGTAAGTGTAAAGCTCTTCCCACAGAGCCTGCCTCATGGTAGATGCCCAGTAAATGGTCCATCTTACTATCATTATTGTTACTATAATTACTCTTACCGTTTCACATCTCAGCTGTATCCTGGGTAGAAGGCAATTTCCCTATGGGGTGGTAAGATTTGGTTTCTCTTTGTATTTCTTGACATTTCTTTCTCTGTCCCCAATAATTATTATATTCACCACTTATTAAGTATGTACTATGTACCAGACAGAGCTAGGTGCTTACATTTTTCATTGAATCCTCTCAGTCCTCTTATGAAGCAGGTAATATTATCATCCCCACTTTACAGATGAGGAAACTGAGGTTCAGAGAAGTTAAGCAATATGCCCAAGGTCACACAGCCAGTAAACATGGGAGCCAGGATTCAAGTCCAGGTCTTTCTGACTCTCTGTGCTTTGCCTGTACCTATGACCCAGTTGATCCCCCAACCCAACCCATCCCCGTCCTGCCCAACACACACAGGCCCAGGTGCCCTGGCCCTCATTACCCAGCATGCTCAGGGCCCCTCCCAAAATAGGGGCACTCACCTACCTGTGGGGGTTTCTGGCCCAGGCCGCAGTCTCTTCTGACAGGCAGTTTATGCTGCCGGCTTCTAGCCGCCTGTCTCTGCACACTTGATGCTGTTTCTATTTTTTGATTTGAGTTCAGTTATAAAGCATGCTGTCTGCTCCCCCTTCCAGCCTCCTCCTGCCACTCTCAACTCGCCCACTGGTCCCATGGCATGGTGAGTGCCAAGCCCAGCCGGGCACCTTCCCTTCTAGGCCCAGGCCTCGGCCCTGGCCCTGCTGGGAGGAGAGGCAGCTGGGGCCTTGAAGGGTAGTGTATGGAGCAAGGGCATAGAGTTAGAGCTGAAAGGATCTTCCATGGAGGAAGATGGAAGGGCGGGGAGACTAGCCAAAATCACGCACAAGCTGGTGGTATTGCCAAGATCAGATCCCAGGGCCAGGGCCCTTGGTTACAGGCTGAAGAAGATGGAACTGGCCCAGGATTAAGATCCAGACGTCTCAGGCAGAGGAAGCCAGTGCAGGCAGACAAAGGGACAGGTAGGGTAGAGAGTAGGCCTTTAGACCAGCCCTGGTCTGCAGTCAGAAGCTGTGTGTCCAGGAGCCACTGAACCCTCTGCCAAGCTCCTTCCTCCCCGCAAAGGCAGGGATACCCCAGGGTATACCTGGCCCAGGACCCACTGTCCCATGAGGCCAGTGAGAGGGTCTTTAAGGTTCCTCCCAAGGCTAACTGTGATCCTTTAGGGACTTTGGATTTGGGCCTATTAAGAACCGTCCCTTTTATCCAGAGACCCTTGTCATGCACCCATACATCGATACTCCTCCCCAGCACACTCCCAGGAAATGGACACACATCCACCCATGCCCACAGCCACACTTACATGGGGGTCTCTGAAGTCTGAGCTCTAGGAAGCTAGGGCTGAGCCTCCCTGAGCCCTGTGTGAGTCAGCTGTGGCCAAGGTCCAAAGTAAACTCTTAGAATCCCCTTCTTCTCTCTTCCCCTGCTCCCCCAATCCCCCAGAACATGGGCTCTCTAGCCAAGTAGCCTCAGGGCTTAGCTGAGAGGGCGGCCCACTCCCACCTGTGGGGATTGAAGACAGCGGCTGAGAGGGGGTGCAGGCAACAGGAGGAAACAGGTGGAGCAGCAGGCTCTAGGGCAGACCCCGCACTGGCCTCTCACCATCTTCCTGGCATCCACGTGGGTCAGCGCCTCCAGCAGTCCCAGCAGGGCCAGTGCCAGAGGAGCAAAGTGGCAGAGCCCCATGGCACAGAGTAAGGACCAGCTCTGGGAGAGAGATGAGCTCTGTGTTACCAGCAGGTAAATCAAGGCCCAGATTGACTGCAACTTGTTGGGGCAGAGGCAAGAGCTGTCACCTAAACCTGCTTCTGCCTTGAGCCCTGTGTCAAGCGGATGTGGGATGGGAAAGATGAGGAGGTAGGTTTGTTGTCCAGGACTTATGGAGAGAGATGACAATGGCCCCTTCATCTCTTAGAGTTCCTACCCCACAGCTGCTATGAACGGCCACATGGCAGCTCCTGGGGGCTTCAGTTGCACAGACAATTTGGTGGATGACAAATTGTGCAATACCGCAGCCCTGCCCAACCAACTCCCCCAAAGTCACCAGCCCGATGAGAATGTTGCTGAGGTTGGGAATCAGGGTGTCTGAGGCCCCAGGCTGAGGAAGTGGGGCGATTGGATCTGAACAGAGATCCCAGGCTCTGCCAGTTCCTGAGTCCTGTCTAGAGGAGAGTGAGCAGGCTGGGAACATGGCATTCCTGTAGGGAGCATGTCCCCTCTTGGCTGTCCATACCCACAGAGCTCCATGCGACAGTTTCCCACCCTGCTTGGCCCCAGGCCTAATCCCAGCCCCAGCTTTAACTCTAAGTTTCTCCTGTTACACTCACCCCCAAACTCTAAACCTAGCTCCCATCCTTCCCTGCTCCTCCCCAAGATGCTCATCCTCAGCCAGCATGTGGGAAGGGGTGGATGTTGCTTGAGTACTGTCCCTTTGGTTGGGCTGGCTGTGCATTCCGAGACAGAAACAGCTCTTAGGGGTGGAGTTGGGGGGAGACCCAGGCCCTGCCCTGGGGGGCTCTTGCAGCAGGAGGAGAAAGCTGCCTCTCTTCCAGCCTAAACCAGTAAACCAGCCCCAACTGGCAGCCCCTCCAAGCCAGTAGTAGCAGAGCACAACCAAAGATAGGAGAGACCGGGGGTGGGAGCAGTGTGCATGCATAGCAGGAGCTGCAGGCGGGCCGTTGGGAGTGGCGGGCAGCCCCAGAGATCTAACTCCCGCTGATGGCCTGATGGTGCAGATGTGGGGGAGGCCAGCTGTTGGGGCCAGACATGGACAGACCCAGCCCGGGCGTGGTGGCAGAAGGGTGGTGGGCACTCCAGCTTCCTCACGATCCTGATGCCCCCATGGCTGCTCCACTCCAGGAAGACACCCCTGCCTCATCCTGCCTGGGCTGGAGGAAATTTTGCAGAGCGCTGAAGCAGAAGAAAGTGAAGCAGCACTCGGTGACCATGTGGTCCGGGAGCCCAAGCTGAAGCCTTGCTGCGGAGGAAGCCCAGCTCCTCCTTCTGGTCAGCTGGGGACCTTAGGACCCCAGCAGGAGGGAGGTGACTTGGGGAGAGGAGGTGTTGGGGTTTGTTCCCCTTGTGCAACTTAAGGACCGTCTGCTATTGCTCCAACTGCACAGAACACAGATCTAGAAGGCAGAGGTCAACGGAAGCAGGAAGGAGTCTGGACAGACTTCAGGAAGGGCTTTATGTCCTAAAGGGGTCCCCAGAACCAGAGACAGAGGGAGGTTGCGGGTCCTTGTGTAGATCTCTGAGACCGAAGGAGTGATTTGGGGCCAGGAGGTAGCAGAGTGCTGGGTCCAGGCGGAGGACTAAGTGGCACAAGGACAGGAGCACTTCAGCATCTTGGAGGTCCCCGGTGGTGGTGGGCTGAGTTGCATTAGGACAGGAGCACTCTGGCATCTCATGTGAGGAGGTCCCAGATGGTGGTGGGAGCACAGTCAGGAACCTGTTCTCCCTCCTGGTGGTGGGACTGGTAAGGCAGGCTGGGGTGAGAATTAGCTAAGCCTGGAGCATTTTCTCTCTGGAGCTGTAGCTGGGGTCTGGACTGAGGGGAGGGCGATGTAGGTACGAGCAGTCCAGACTGGCTGGGCTGCTGCCTTGGTGGGGTTCAAGGGAGCTCCCACCGGCTTTCAGCTGAGGCAGGACAGATGAGCCCCAGGACCAGGTAGGAAGGCCTCACCCCTTCTGTTTTGTGCCTCCCTATGGAATATTCTCAAAGCAAATATACTTCACAGGGCCTGGTTTTCCAAAGCCTTGCAGTCTCAAATATTGACCTTGCGGAGGACTGGAAATTTTCCTCAGGCTACAAAGTCTCTGTTGTAAGATAAAGATTTGTGGCACAGCAAGGTTGTTGGCTCAAGGACAGAGAAGTTACTGATTGTTACGTAAAGATACTGGGAAATTGCTGGAGGGAGAAGGAATGTTTGCTAAGACCAAGCTTTCATTGGTGGATCACTTAATTGTCTACTGGAACGTCATCTGACTTGTTTCACTGAAAGTTACCAGCCTATATTGTTAAACTATAACCCCACCTATGTTCTCTTCCTGTAACTTCCTGGTCTGGAAAATAAATGCAGGAAGAGAACCCCAATTCGGGGTTAATTTCCCAAGGAAGGAATGCCTCTCGCTTGAGGGTTCCAGGGGAGATTAACCACTTCGGGGTCTCTCACTGCTCAGAAGAGATGGACTTTGAGTAATCCTTTGTGGCTCCGTCACCCAGGGGAAGTGGGGTGACAAATCCATAGGGGGCAAAGCAACACCTCCCTCCTCCTTCTTCCCTGGTCTTTCCCTTCTCTCTGGAGTCTGAAGAGTCTGGGTGGGCATGGGGAGACAGGGGGTGGAGGTCCTACAGGAGGATTGCCTACCCTGGGCCCTGGTGAGACCTCAGGTGGGTGAGGGAAGATCAGCAGCTTGGAGAGTAGTCCAGGCCCCCTTCAACCCTCCCTTCCAGCCACACACAGCCCTGCCAACCCACCCTGGAACAACCCTTCCCATGGCCCCTGACAGCCCCTGACCTGGCCTTTCACCTCTAGCCCACGCTGGTGCTGCTCTACTCTCCCTGCCCAGGCCCTCGCCTGACTTCTCACTGTTGGCCATGGCCAGCCTTGGCCCCTTGCCCCCTCATGTCCTGATGAGCCCTCACCTGGTCCCTCAGCTCCGGCCTGCACCCCGCAGTTGCTGGTCCAGCTGGCAGAGCTGGTGGAGGAAGCCTCGATTGGGGAAGACCCATCGGTGCTGCCTCACGGTGATCACTGCCTGGCGCAGGGACAGCTGCTGGTGCAGCATCAGGTAGGCCAGGACCAGCGTAGCTGAGCGGCTCACGCCCACCACACAATGCACCAGGACCTTGGCTGAGGAAAACGTTCTTGTGAAAGACCATTTCCCAACAGCCGGCCCACCCAGAGGCTGGGGTGGAGACCCATGTGCCTTTCCCTGTTCTGCCTTGGGTGCACCCTGTGACTCTGGGCAAGTTGCTCAGCTTTTATGGGCCTCAGTTTCCTGATCTGTCAAATGGGTAGAACAACACTAGTTTTGTATACTCTTGGGATGGGTTCCAAATTCCTCAACATGGCTTCAAGACTCTGCAAGAGCTGGGCCCTGCTGATGCTACAGCCTCATCTCAGACTGTCCCACCCCAACCCTCAGTTCTAGGAACATGTAGTCACTTTCAGTTCCTTGAAGCTGTCATGGCCTCTGACCTCCAGCATTACCGCATGCTATTCCAACTACCTGAAAAACGTTCCTCCTGGTCTTGGTCTGACTAACTTCTACTACTCATCCATTAGGTCTCGGCTGAGACATGGCTTCCTCCCATAGGCTTTCCTGACAACTCAAGGTATCACTTGAATGACAGAGCAGCTCATCGTTTTGGCTTCCCTCTACAGTGAACACCGCTGTAGAGGGAAGCCCCCCTCTCTAGTCCTCTGGGTTGAGCACCCTGCCCTGGGCTCCTACAGCTCTTCACATTTGCCCGCTCACGCGAGTAGCACTCATGATACTCCATGGTTTGACTCTCTTTCCACCAGACATGTAATGGCAGGTTCCATGGGGACAGGAACCCTGCCTTGGTTAAGTCTGGATTCCAAGTATTTAGCTCAGTGCCTGGCATGTAGCAAATGCTCAGTAAGTGGCTCAGTGAATGAATAGTTAAAGGACAAAAGCATGTCACAGTAGTTTGGATGTTAAAAAGTGATATGAGCTGTAGTCTTGTCATTTCCATCACATAAATGAAGAGACTGAAGCCCAGAGAGGGACAGTGACTTGCCACAGTCACATAGCAAGGAGCACAACTGTTTCCCAGGATAAATACAAAGCAGGGGCTCCAGACTCCTTTGCTCTACCCTGGGTATTTGAGGACTTTTCCCCCACATTTGAAAGTATTTTAGGACAGACATCTAGGTACCAAATGGTGATTTCCCAAGGCTGAGTGTTGCAGAGAAAGAACCACTTTGCTGTTTGGGAGACACAGATT